CTAGTTCCGTATTAAGCAATTGAGCCCTTATTTATAATGGGATAATATTGATTTACGACCGCTCCATTTTGGCGGTTCCTCCGTTTTGAACTTCGCCCAAGATGGCGTCTTCCCGCCAGGTGCGTCCGAAACGTTCAATTCGAATTTTGAGTCTAGCTTTGTGCTCGTTTCACAATGGCTGCAAGATTTGCACAAAAACGTCTTATGAAAAAAAAAAGAATAAGGGGTTTGAAAAAAACTGGTGCATAGTAACGCAAGGTACAGACGGCGGGTATTATAAGGCAGGCGGTCGCTGGACGGTCGCGTGCCGTGTTTATTTTGAATTTTATAGGTTTTTTACAGTGGGGTTTTGTCGCAGCGAGCATCACAGCGTGACGCGTTCGTCGCTCTCTTAATTGTGTTTTATAAACTACGTGAGACGATTGTTTGAGAACCGAGCTCATTTATTATAATCCACTCCAAACGACAATGCACGCTTTTAAATACTTTCTAAAAGACGTTGTTTTCTCTGAAGACGGGATCTCTTTCGGTTTTTGTTGTTGTTGGCCTGAAACTTGGCCTGAATGTATTATTTCTTGAATACACAACCTACTGTCAGCCTATGTCCCGTACTTGACATCTTTCGGCTGAAACGACATGATAATGATGATATTTGTTTCGTAGCCACCACAATATTTGTAATTTTATCTAGCTTTTAACACTCATTATGTGAATAAGCAAAAAACCGCTCTATTTAGTTTCAGGTTAATGACCCGGAAGTCAAATCCTTAAGAATCGGTAGACCGAAATTTCAGTCAACAGCAAAGAAAGCCGTAAAATTCAAATAACATTTCGATACTGAATTGATATGCATGGGATATTCAAACTAACATCTATACGTCAATCAAATGTTAGAAACGTTCCTAACAATGGTTGACACGCGTGTCACTAGATGTATGATTTGCCGCTTTGATGACTGAACTAAATAAGTAATACTGAATTACATTAAGGAGCCCGTCGCAGTGGGTGTTCTACGTTGAAATTTTTGGTAGCCTTGTTTTTTCTCTGTAGCAAAAAGAGATTCTGAACGAAAAAGTTTGGTCATTGATGACGAGGTACTTCAATTGAGCATAGTAGGAGTTTCGTGACTATTTCAAGTTTTCTTAATTCTTGTTCTTTGGTTTTTAGCTACGTATTTAGTTTTTTAAACTAAGGCTTCAGGCAATTCACTTCTTCAGATTAGTGTAAGTAATAAACCCATATTTTTAATTATTTCCTATATCGTGCTGAGAACCATCACCACGGTAACGGAATTCAAATTGAAACCACCGATGCACGTACAAACGGACATGCAATGCTATTTCTCATTGGCAGCAAATTACAAAAGCAAATAGACTGTTCTTTTTATCCCGCCATCTTTATAGTTTCGTGGCCGTAACATCGTAGTGATTAATCCACTTGTTTTTCGTCATGAGCGTCATTTTTTAGCTGCAGAACACGCGAGTTTTTCGCCATAAACGCGCCACGTCGATGTTGGTAGATTCGTCCGTTACAATTACATGTGCTAAGGATGTACTGAAGCTTTGTCCGTTACCATATCCGATTCCTTTACGAAATATATTAATCTTCACTAGAATTATATTTACTAGTACGGTATGGCTATGGCCTAAACCCTCGTCTGAAAGGAGACCCGTGTCCAGCAGTGGGACGTATAAATGGGTTGATGATGATGATGAATGCACTGTGATATCAGTGTGAGAAAATATACTTCTTTCAACTTATCTCTCAGAAAAGCTCAGTTTTATAAACTGCCCGAACAGCCTGCTGCTCCAGAACAAATATTTGATTAATTTTGGCGGCATTTTCCCAAAAGCAAAAGGCCATAAAATTGTACTAATGTCTCTGTCTTTATTTTAACGAGAAGCTCGTTGAAATAGTCAACTTCACACTTCGAGGGCGGTACAAAATCCCGTGAATCCTAACAGAAAATTCGATCACAAAATTGATAAAAGAAAAGAGTTTGTCCAGGGAAGTACTGCCACCTTACCTATTTCTGCCACCAAGCAGTAATGTTAGCATTACTGCGTTCCGGTTTAGAAGAGTAAGGGTGCTGGCGAAATTACAGGCACATGGGACTTGTCAACTCATGTCTCAGGGTGACGGGCGCAGTGGCAGTGCCACTCAGATCTTTGCGATTTAAAGCTCTGACTGGCACTGCAAATGTTATGGACAGGCGTGTAGCTTACCATCAGGCGCACAACTTGTTCGTCCCGTCACTTGATATTATAAAAAAACCTGTTTATTGGCTTGGCTCTATTTCTACAGCAAAAAAATCACTGCAGTACGTTAATAATAGATGTAATGCACGCTTTGTATTGTCCGAGCCGAAGCAAAACGCGAAATTAGTCTTTTTCGCTCTTATTATATACAGCTTTTTCTAATCTGCTACAGCCGATTTCAATTTGATTAGTATAGTGACTTCCTAAGAGGCTAAATTAAAGTTGTTTTTAATAAAACCATATCGCTGTTGATATCATGAATCCGATATCTACTCACAACACTAGATTATTAATTCTAGCTCGCATTCTCTGAATATTTGAACTGCTTCATGAGCAGAGGCTCCAATTTTGTTATAATATTTGAATTGTAATTAATACTCTGGAAAAAAATAGCAATTACTCGTACATTATGGCGCTATATAAGGCTTTATTTTTCATTCACATGTTCGAAATTTTTATTTTTATTTTTTATAGACTATTGTCTAGATTTTAATCACGTTTTAATTCTTTTGTGTTTTTTAATGTTCGGTTTTATGTTTGGAAATTGAAATGTTACTATGCAGATAAACTGCCTTCGATATGTTTTATGTATTTTATTAGGTTATCTTTCAGTGGTGTAGTTACAAGAAACTTGATATATTTTTTCGTGCTAAATTTATTTTACTTACTATGAGATTTCCCATTTTTTTAAAATATTACGATGTAATTTAATGTTTATAAGTTTTTTCTTCGAGAGTCGATACTACGTCAGCTCGAATTCAAAATTTTCCCGTATTAATACGGTTAATTTTGCTTGGGTCGAGCAGCAGGGACACTGGCTTTATTTCAGAATTTTTTTTTTACTAATATTACACTTTCACTGTTACGCCGCATCAACCAAAGCCAACTGAGGTAGTATAAACCCTTAATAGAAGCCAGACGACGGTTCTATCCTGTTCATCCAATACCTTTTCCATTAAACGTACAGTCATTCCATCATGCAGCCAAAAGGTTAAAAAAAATATCCCGATTGCGTGTTTTGCAGCATGGTTCTAACAAGTGACGATCGGCGAACGAAATATGATTTTGTAAAATAATAAGGCCGATCGTTAGCACACCGTCTAGACGGGAAGCAGTAAAGTTTTTTATGTATTGAATAAAATCTGACTCTTCCTCCCTCACTCTAATCCTAAACAGGGGTGTACTTAGGGTAGTTTTCACGTCATAACACATAAAATATAAATGTCATTCCAAAGTAATGACATAAGTTCGTAAGTAACTCCGCCTGTAACGTTTTCACGCCTAAACCGCTGAACCAATTTTGATGAATTTTGGTATAGAGATAGGTGGGAACTAGGAAAAGGGCATAGGCTACTTTTATCTCAAAAATAAATCTTAAAGGGAGTGAATTAGGGGATGAAAGTTTGTATGGAGAACCAACAAAACTAGAGATGAAACGGATATCCGGTAACTATCAGGTATCCGGCCTATCCGACCTATTTTTTCTATCCGGCCGGATACCGGATAGTAGTACAATATCCAGCCGGATACCGGATGTTTAAAACTAAGAAAAAATCATAATCAGCACGCCAAATAAATCTATTTGTTAAAGTCATCTAAGTGTAAAATATAATAGCAACTACAGGATCGTTAACAATCTGGTTATTTCTTGTAACTGAAAGAACTATGAAGTTAGAGAGAGGTGAGGTGAGGTGGTAGAGAAGACGTTATCTGTAAATTTACTATACTCAAATTTGAATAAAGGCAAAGTATGGTGGAATTAGACCAGTTTTTCTGCATTAAGTGGTAAAAGTTGGTGACATTTATTTTCATAAATAGATCCACCTTTGCGATTTTTTTATTGTTAACATTTTACTGGTACGTATTTGTTTGTATTATCGAATATATTAATCGTTTTTATAAAAACCAAATCACCACAATTAATCAAATCGTCAATGTGAAAGTGCAATCATTCACTAATCAATCAATCAATCACTGTGATGCGCGCTGTAAACCGGTTGCGACATGTTTACGGCAGTGGGTAGATATCCGGCGGCCGGTTATCCGGCTATCCGGACTTTTCGTTTCCTCTCTAAACAAAACTATGAATATGAGTATAGCACAGTAGGCTACTCGAAGTACTTTATTCTATATAGACGAAGTTACGGATATCAGCTAGTAACTAATAAAATAATAACATTCATACTGCTGTACATATATATGCATAAACGTACGAAAATGATACAATCTTTTAATAACTTTACAATTTATTTACGAATACTTGATGTAAACTAATTTCACGGTAACAAAGTTCTAACTCCAAATTGTTAAAAAATGTAAACTACAAAAATAACTGCCTAAAATTTCAATTTCATTGTACTTATATTACTTATTTGAAAATTCCTCTCTTGCCTGACTACAGTGCTAATTAGAAGCTAATCTGTTATGTTTTTAAATAACAATGTATAAACTAATAGCAATTCTTATAACACCGTAAGAAAACCGATTACCGAATAATTACACTAGTAAATTTATAGATAATTCTACACTCGACTCAGGAGGTCTACAGTAACCAAATACCTCTCTGAGTGAGGGTAAACGAGAACAGAGCCAAGTGAAGCGTTAACCCACTCACTGTCTGTTAAATTAATTTAAGTTTCGAAATCACGTTCTTTGTGCTAAAACGAATTCCTTTATTAAAAGTATTATTTTCACAATCGCCCTTTCTTTCATATTAATAATGATATTATTATGAGCCTGTACTGTCCCACTGCTGAGCAAAGGCCTCCCTCCTCTCTCTCCACACCTCTCTGTTTTGCGCCACTGAGGTCCAGTCCTTTAGGCGCGCGTTTAGCTCGTCTCTCCATCGACTCTTTGACCTGCCGCATGGTCTTTTTCTATTTTTTATATATTTTTTTATTAATAACAATAATTTCCGCTAAATCGTCCAGTAAATTGATTAGTAACTTTCGTAATATATTATCATAAAACTTAATATGAATTGTTTGTTTGTTTGCTTAAGCTTTATTTTGCTTTGGGGGAGTATTTTGAGCTAATTTCAGTCTGGGATAATTTACATTCGAAATTGGTTCCACCCTTACATCGTCAACTTGTCAAAGCATCTCCATTTCGCTTTGCTTTTAACTTGATGCCGCTTAATTTCGCCGCTGCCATTTTGACAGCTCAGGTTCGCGCCAAATTCGAAATGAGAACGCGTGAGAAACGGCTCGCGGCATCTCAAATTACGACGTTCGGGAATGTGAATGAACCGCTTTTTTAAACAAAAAAAAAAGAACACTGGCAACCTTTTTGCTTGTTACGAGTTACGTTCAGAAACCGAGTTTTGAATTAAAAAACTTCGGGTGTGCCGTTTCAATTTAATTCGCTGTCGTATTTTAGTACACTAAATTTTTTATTTAATGTGTGTAGTCTCTTTACGATTATTATGTTGAAACTTGTGTTATCAATTTCATTAGAATTTTATTTTAGCGTCTGTTGTAAAAAGATATCAAAGATTTAAAAAAAATTACATTATTGTTAAAGCAATGTGTCGATTTTTTCATTTTCATTCGTTTAGTGTTTTTATATATTCATAAATTTAAAAAAAATGTATGTACATTTATTTCGCAATATCTCTTTACTTAACATAATACAGCAGTCAACTGCTTTACACGACTTTAGACGACTTTTCGTATATAAATATTTAGTGTGAAGGTACGTAATGTTGTCCATACATAGTCTTATAATTGCTGTTAATATTTTTTTAGCAAATGATTGGTAAGTCGTGTGTAATTACAACCCATGTTTGACCAATCGCACTAAAAAAATGAATTGATTGTACAGTAAAGTCCTTAGTTTAGAGACTTCTTGTTACACATTTTAAATTATCCGAAGCTGCTCAAACACAGCCCTACAGCGTTCTTGGCTTTTTCGACCGGTTGTCAAATTTTAAGAAACCAACGCCGAAAGCTGGACTTGTTATTCGCGTATCTGTACAAGTGCGCTCATTAAACTGCGCATGAGTTTCACAACATTATTATTATGCATTTTTTGAGACCATTTTCTTTCCAAGTTACTGATGTTATGATTAAACCTTTATAATTATATACCTTTTCGAAAACGAGGAAAGTCCCAAATTTAACGACGTAGTCGTAACCAAACCACCCTGGTGTTTATTATAGATTTTAAGATTTTCGTGGTTATTCACTAAATGGTTAATCACAATTACAAGTTTCATACCATAGTATGATTTCTCCTTGTTTTACCGGTATTTCGGAACGGTCACGTGTTGACTGAATCATGCCGTGGTAATCAATGATAATAATTTGTGGACTATTCTCCTCCTCCATCGGTCTCTCGCTGCTGAGAATCGTTACTTCGTGCCATACACCTTGAATTAGAGGTGGGTGATTAAACAAAAAGCATTTAAGAGTTTGCTTTTTAAAATAAGCACATTAGCAGCAATTTGATTTCTTACAACGTGTTTATCTTTCAATTCCAGCCATCTATGCTTCCTAAACATATTAATTCGTCAATGTGAATAATAATTTTATAAATAAAAATAAAACTCGGGTTTTACAAATAAACTGACTTATCTTAAAACCTTTAGTGGTCTACTCTTGCTTTTCGCTATCAACACAACGTTGCAAGCTTTTTTTAACATAAAAGTCTATGCGCTTAAACGTTTTTATAAACGATTTTGTAAGCTTCAAACTAAAAAGCTTTTAAAAAGCACAATGTTTTAACGTTTAAAAAATAAGCAGTATTTCCCATGTCTACCTTCCACTTAATGCAGCCGTCCTTATCGTAACTAACGTAATCGCCATTTTAGCGAAATTGAGTTATTAACATATCTGGGATCAGCGATACGAGATCTACAACCCCCTGTAATCGGTTTTTTAATGTCTTATTTAATTCCGGTTTTATTGTTAAGCAAAATCACACAATTGACATTGACACAATGCAATTGACACATTTGACTAGACAGAAACACTTAAGGTGTCAATATCTCGGGTTTTTGCGCACAAGTTGCGTTAGTTATAACACGGAAGGCAGAAGGTTCTTCATTTCCGTCCGGTCAGATCTACAACCCATTAGTGTTATGGTTTAACCTAGCTAGTAGTGTATCATTTTTATATAAAAACATCGATGATACAGTCCGTTCCGATTTTAAATCTCGAACGCACCAAATGATGTGTTGTAGTTTTTTAAACTTATTTTGTTGCCATTTTTCAATATAACTGCCATATAAACTTTTTTGGCGGTAGATAAAAATTTCTTCTAATTCGACTGAAAATGGCATGGCTTCAAGCACAATTTGGGGTAAAAATTTTGATTCTGCCGTTTTCCGATATAGCCGTAATTTTTTATGTAAATTGCTATTGAAAAAACTTGCTTTACTCGGACTGAAAATTGGCACGAAAAGATTTCTAAGATTGTTTGATAATAATTAGTGGTCAAAATATATTTTTGCAATTTTTAAATATGGCCGCCATTAATGAGCTATTTCAATGTTTTTTAAACAAAGCCGTAAGTGCCGAGGCCGGAGGTCGAGGTCCGCGGAGGGCGAAGCTCGAAGCGTCCCCACGCCATCAAATGGAGATAATATACGGAGACGTAATAGATTACGAGTACAAGATCTCACAATTGTAAAAATGTAAAGCATGCTTCCCGATGTAGTGGAAATGAGACGCTTATTATAGCGTTGTTGTATCTCAACCGTCTCTATGTTAGATTTAATTTTCTTGAAAGCTATGCCAAAGAGAATACTGCCGAATTTCCTGTACTGTGTAGGTACTATGAATACCAAATCAACGATAACCCTGAATACTCAGACCAAAACCAACTTAGAAATGTTCGTTTCTTAAATTGGCATAAATTGGGAATCGACCTCCTCATCAAGCGCCCATAGTACTAACTGCTGTGCCACCAAAGAGCATGAGCACACCCCGTAAACTGAAACCGACCACGCGCCGCAGACCGAGCCCGACCCCGGCTCCAGGGCTCGTATTTTTATAAAAACAAATTAGGCATTTTTTATTTTTTATTTATACCAAGATGGATGTTAGTAGATTGTACGGCACAAATTTATTGAGACAATATGAAACTTCAGCACTTGTGGAATTATTAAATTCAGATAGCGTTTTATGGCATCAGCGAATGGCTGTTATTTAGTTAGTTATGATTTTAAATCATAGTCGCTTCAAATTGCATGCTTTTAACATTTTCGTATTTTTTTATGATACCCGTGACAGAACGAACGAGTCGTATGCCTGGTGTTAAGAGGGAGCAGAGGAAAAAATCCTAATCTTCGATTTGATTTTAGAGGGGTATATCCACTTTAAAGTTAAAAATAAAATATTGTATGAGTAACTACACGATATATTCAAGCATAGACACTAATCAGAAACATAAAACAATAAAGTTTCCTCGATAGATAAAAATCACGAAATGACCTCTAATTTTCACATTTTTTCGATTCATCCTCGAAATACTACAGGTTATTAGGACAAAAATTAGATAATTAATTATATTTATGCATGATCGACAACTGTCACTACGGATTTTTTTTAATCCCTTTAGTTATAGAGTTATTCCGCTAAAACGAATTTGGTACTTTTAATGCGCAAAATTCAACATCTCCTGTCGCATGTCACGCGAACGTCAGGCATATATTTGTTGCACAAATTTGGGCGGAACCAACGTCAAAACTTTTTTGGCATTAGAGCTTTTAAGTGACTGAAGGGCACTGCAACTGCGCCCGTCACTCTGAGACATAAGTTGACAAGTCTCATGTGCCTGTAATTTCACCAGCACCCGTAACCTTTCAAAATCGGAACAGTAATGCTGACATTACTGCTTGGCGGCATAAAAAGAGGTAAGGTGGCAGCACTTCCCTGGACGAACTCTTTCACAAGGAGCTCTACTGCTACTAACAACATACTAATTAGTCGTTTGAGTTTCATTTAAATACGATATTAATTCCAGACTGAGACAGATCGTATTGTACTAAATAATTTGAAAAATTAATGACTTTATTTAATTCAAATTTGTGATTATGACATTTGAAGACGCTAAAGAATTATTTTATCAATTATATCGCCTTGTTCTTAGTAACTTTTTTTAAATTTCTATACTACCTGCAAATGTCAATTATGCAATTATGATTTAAGTCTCGTTCTTACAAAACATCGAGTATATAACCAGAAATAGAGACGAAATAAGAATATAATAAGATATCAACAATATAATAAGAATAGCAACTCATCAGGCAAATGGGCCTTATGTCACTTTTAAATATCAACTCGCGTTTGCACTGAAATCTAGAAAGCTGAAATAGTACAGCGCCAACAACTGGCCTGTGTGCACGTCTCCGTATCCAAAAATATTCTGTATTTATTGTAATAAAGATAATATCTCTAACTTTGGGAGGCTGTTCCATTCGGTGGTGTGGTAAAAACAGCAAAACATCTAATTACAAAACTAACTGAATAACATTTCATCGGTAATTAAATGTTAAATATGTAATTTTCCAATTTTCGTCCATTATAGCAAAGCTCAAGTTAAACTGGTCGATTTTAAGTGAAACAATTGACACCCTTCAATTGTTTTGAATTTGGGCTGGCCAATCGGAACGCAGTTGTCACCGTAATGGCAGAAAAGTTTTCATTAAATGACATTTTGTCACTATTTTTGGTTATATACTCGGTGGCACCAAATGACGTGCTGTGACATTTTAAATATTTTTACTATGAATTCATGCATTTACTATTGAAATTTACAAAATATTGCATTTAGATTCTTAAGTCAATGCTGTCTGCCCTCGATAATCATTTGTACAAAAATAGTTATTTCTAAACCACCAACAAATATCGATTATTCTGTATGA